GCGGAGTTCGGAGCCATTTCATTTCTCCATCAGCGCGGCGGCAGGTGCAGGGGCGCCCGTGGCCCGAGTATTGGGGTTGATTCCCGCACCACGGGCAGGAGGTGCGGCCACAGGGCCGCCGCCGCCGCCGCGCCGCCCGCGGCTCCACCATTGGGCGATTCGAATGGCCCTGAGCGGCGGTAACCGCCCCCGGTAACCGTCCGCGGCTCCATGCGGCCGGCGCGAGCGGCCCCCGGCAGCCGCCGGCCGCGCAACCTCCAGCGCTGCGCCCGAGGAGCGGGTGCCCGTCCGTACAGAAATGGGGAGGTCTGGAAAGAGCATGAAATAACTGGATTATTAAATCAATTCTCTTGGTGTTGCCTTTGAGATGAGTTTTACTGTCTTAAAGGTGACCAGAATTGTGTACACAGCCACTTTTACTGTAAATTGTTAACCAGTCCCCAACACAAGGACATGGAAATGTTGGAGAAGACCACGAAGTTGATAAGGGGACTGAAGCACCTTCCCTATGAAGACAGGTTGAAAGAGCTGGGGCTCTTCATCCTGGAAAAGAGAAAGGTCGTGTGGAAACCTCAGAGCACCTTCCAGGATCTGAAGGGGGCTACAGAAAAGCCAGAGAGTGACTCTTCATCAGGAACTATAGTGATAGGACTAGGTGAAAATTGAAAGAGGGGAAATTTAGGTTATATATTAGGGAGAAAATCTTCCCTGTGAAGGTGGTGAGACACTGGCAAAAGTTGCCTGGGGAGGTTTTGGATGCCCCAACCCTGGCAGCACTCAAAAGCCAGATTGAATAATTCCTTGAGAACCTGCCCATGGCAGGGGAGGGTGGGAGTAGATGATCTTGAAGGTCTATTCCAATCCCTTAACATTCTAAGATTCTAAAAGTGATACAAAATCCTGAAACAATCTTTATTTAATGTAATATTACTGGCATGTTAGTGTTATGGATATTCATCTTGAGAGGACTGATTCATGTAGCACAGCAAGAAGTGGAGTCACTGAGCCCTTGGTGCCTCAGATCCTCATTTAACATGAAAATCTCTTCCTCCCTCTCAGGTTGAGGTGGATGCTGAAATTATCATCAACCTCCTTCAATCTCCTGCTTTTATCATAAAGAGTTTCTTCAACCTCCTGTTTATGCAGACTCAATATAATTCTTTAAAAGAACATTGCCTGTTGGTACTGTGGAACGCAAGTTTCAGTTCAGAACAGTTTAAATACAAGTCAGAGCAGCCACAGCCATTTGTACTGTAAACATTTGCTTTCTCCCTTCAATGTCAGATCATAAATTAATTTGGAATTAGTCCTCCATTCAGAAAAAAAAACAAACCTCTATCACCACCATTGTTATAACCAATAAAGGTACTCCCTCTGAACACACACTGGGCAAGCAGTTGTATTACCGACCAATTTCAGCTGCACCTGAAATATCACAAATCAGATTCCCTGAAACCTGCCTGTTCTTCCAGGGAAACAGAACTTGATCAGGGTGGTAATTAAGGATACTGAAGCCTTGGGCTGTGCAGAGGATCACTCACATTTGAACCTGCATTCTCCTGCTATGACATACTGTTTCTGAAGCTAGAAAGGGACTTTGACAAGGGGCAGTGGCTTCCCACTGACAGAAAGCAGGGTTACATGGGATGCTACAAAAAAAATTCTTCCCTGTGAGGATGGGGAGACACTGGCACAGCTTGCCCAGAAAACCTGTGGCTGCCCCATCCCTAGAAGTGTTCAACGTCAGGTTGAACCTTGGAGCAACCTGGTCTAATGGAAGGTGTCCCTGCCCATGGCAGGGGTTGGAACAAGATGGTTCTTAGGGTCCCTTCCAATCCAAACCATTCTATGATTCTACCCAGCACAGTTCAGAAGACTTAGCTGCAGGTACAGCTCCTAATCTGATTGCCACATCAGCAAATCCTTTGTTACTCTTGCATGACAGAAACATCTAGAGATCCCCTGGCCATGCAGATGGCTCTTAATTCTCTTCCTAAAACAAGAACAAACTGATCTTCAGGGATATTCCAGAGAGATCTCATGCACGACAAGCCTTTCCAATAACTGCTCTGCATTTGTGATTTCAGTGTAGGCCAAGTTTTTTGGGTGTAAAGGGTAAGGTAAGGACTCAGATCTCACAAAGGGGACAGAATAAAGCCAGCCTTTATCCTTGCAGACCGTACAGAATCAAGTCCTGAGAGAACCGTTTACATGGAAGAATGAAAGCAGATGCCCTGCTGAGCGCAGCCTTGCTGCTGTCAGAGGAAGAGTGCCTTCTCCAGCACTGCAGATTCCTCCAGTTCCCTTAGCACTAGGTTTACAAGATCTATTGCAGGAAATATTGTCATTTAAAAACCAGTATCCAGTGTCTCAGTCAGGAAAACACTTCAGGTGACATGGATGAGTAGCCGAAGACAGCCTGAGGCAAAAGCTGGTCAGGCCTACCCCATCTGACAGAGCCATAACACCAGCCAAGAGCATCTTGCTTTTACAGTAACCTGCTCCGAGGATGTCTCTTGTCTCAAAGAAGCCTTTTTGCTTCAGTCTTCAGTTCAGAGCATCTCCTTTCCAGCAGCATCCTAGATCCCTTTCTTTTACCTGTCCCCATCCTTCTACAAACACCTAGCTGGACCCTTATCTCACAGCAACTTGATATTCTGAACGGGGTGGTCTCTGTGCCCACATCAGTCCATTAGGTGTGACCAGTCAACTCTAAAAATAAAAGCCATTTCTTCTGAAGTTTTCACCATGCAAGTACTTCAGGAGGCAGCTGCAGCTGGCATCAGATTGCAACTCCAGTTTTTTGAATGACTTCTTCCATGCGCTGGTACCAAGGTTGAATATTGGTGTGAGCCATCATGTCATCAAAGGCTTCCAGCCCTTCCATGACCCGGAGTACCCCGTACACTGCCTGTGCAGAGCAGAGAGGACAGAACACTGAAAAAGCAGTGGAGAACAGCTTAGGGTACAACAAGTGTCTCAATAATCAAGCTAGTACACTTCTTTCCCTGTCCTGCCATCCGATCCATCCTTCTGATTAGCAAGGAAGAGTGAACGGCAGAAAGATAATTAAAAATATGCATGTTTTTCCATGAGGAAACAGTAAGGAAGGGTCAGAATCTATGTGCAGTTATGGGACAGTTATGGGGAAGTCTCCACCATATGGCAACTGTATTACTGCACAAAGGACATGTATCTCATCTAGCTCAACTTCTCTTCCTGTAGCTGTATTAACCATTTCACACAGATGAGCAGCAGGATAATTTGCAATTCACCTGACAATAACCACAGGGATGAAGCCCTTACCAGGTCAGCGAGGTTTGGCTGTTTCCCACCCATGAACAGTCGATTTTTGCCAACAGCTTTTACCCACTCATTAACTGCTTCATACAAATCTTCTCGGACATCATCTCGAAGCTGATGTCTGGATAAAGAAAATAATCAGTTTGAAGACACAAGCTTGTTTCTTCCTTTACCCTTCTATCACCTCTCACCTTATGGGCTGGTTTTGGTTTGCAAGTAAGGGCAGTATTTCAGAGGGAAGGGGCAGTCAGTAATTAAATAGTGGATGAGTAGAGGGGTTCAGTACCTCCAGTAAAGATGTACAGTTGTTACTCATACAGGATTAAATGGTTCACTTTAAAACTCTGAGGTTCTGCCCTTTGACAGCTGGGGTTCACAGCTAAGGAGGAACTATTTCTCCTCTTGTGTACTTAGTGCTTTCCTCCTCTTGTGTACTTAGTGCTTAGTGATACCAACCTTTTCTTCAGCCTCTTGCTAACAAAGAACATGGCAACAGCCCCCACGTATTTGGCAAAGAGACCTTCCAAGGTGCCAAACTTCCCCTCACGGACAATGTAATCAAAAGATGCCAAGGCTTCTTTGGGGGTGCGGTAAACATTGGGGGAGATGAGGTGAACAAGCCAATCATCTGCCCATTTTCTCCACTTCATTTCTTCCCTGCGAGCAGTCAAAAGAAAGTTTTCAGTGAACAAGGTACAGATAGAAGGGCTACAGGAGGCAGGATCACAGTTGCCTTAGCCAGAGATCCTTCCAAGGTCAAACAGTCCTACCCAGGTACTCTGGTGACATCCCTAAAATGTACTGAACATCATTATCTTTAGTCTCAAACTGAATTTAAGACTAAAACAGAGCATTAGGTTCTTCACCCAACAGAAGAAATAAAGCAGGAAGGGAAACTCTCCCTCAATAGATTCCTCTGTGGCAAAAAGGAAAGGCCAAGAAGGAAACCGTAGGCAGCTGAAGGCCTGTGTGACCATGGTGGTGGTAACTAGGCTGATAAACAGCTTTGTTTTGAATTATCCAACAAACACAGCAAACCAGCTAATGAGGCTTGAAACACTAACAGGGGTGTGACAAGACTTGTCAGCCCCAGTGGGATTTTACATCAGCCCTGAGTACACATAAAGGGGGCTGTGACCCTACTTGGAGAGCCCAGAAACTGAAGAGCACTTACACTCTCACTTCTTTGACAGGATAGACTCTCTTTGTCTCCTTCTCATCCAGCATGAGCCAGTATTTATTCTCATACTCAAGCACCTCCTTGCCTTGGTCAGTCACCGTTTTAATAGGTGGATAAAAGGACACAATTTCTTCTAAGCTATTCCTCCTGTGAAAAGAAATACAGTTAGCACTGATCTGGCTGCTATAAATGAGCAAGAGCAAAGGACAAATTGAAAGATTCACACTATAAAATGTATTATTCTAAAAGTAAGTGCACAATGTTCCAGATTCCATTTGGAAGAAAAAGAGACTAGAACAGCTGCTTGCAAATAACTATTATTAGTGCACATACCTCTGTATGTGACAGAAAAGAAATTTCTGCAGGCATAAAACTTCCTACCATTCTCAAGTAGACCTAAAGGACAGGCCACAGGCACAACAATGCCATTTCATTCTACATGTTATAACTGGCTAATTGTAAGCTCAGTTCCAAGACTAACACTAGTTCATGTTGAAGTAGGTTTTGTGCAAACAGAATCTCACAGATGAGAAAGTACTTCTGAAAGGTACAAGCTTTGCTTTACATCACACACATCACAACATATATAAGCACCACCCATATTATCACAGCCAGGCTCAGGTCACCCAGAGCTTCAGAGCCTGAGGTCAGCAAGAGACTTACTGGCACATTCAGAGTCTTCTAAATCTTTACTTAACCTGGGCCCTCCAAATTCAACTCTTCTCTCATCACCCTGTTTTCTTACCTGGAAATAAGATAGGTCTTTATTGCACTGATTATCACTGAGGAGTCGTTCAATTGCTGAAAAACAGGATTAAAACAACCTTTTAAAAGAAGCTGGTTAAATTGAAAAGGAAATTCTTCAAAGCCTTTCTCCCTGCATGCTAAGGCTTCAGGTCATGGAGACTTACCAGCGGGCTCCCAGCGTTGGCTAGCAGGATGGGCACCTTTCTGTAGGAAGAGAATTTGATCTCTTTCCTCATGATTGGGTTCACTTCCACAATTTCATAGGGCAGTCCATGATAATCAAGAAAAGCTCGGACTTTGCTGCAGAAAGGACATGTTTTATACTGGTAGAGAGTGAGCTGCAGGCTCCCTGCAGGCAGCTGGGAAAGAAAGAGAACAGAAGATTTGTGTTCTGCTAAAAACATAAACACTGCCTTCCATCCTTGTTTCTGTCATGAAGTCATAGTCACCGACATTCAGTGTCAACATCTTATCATGAGCATATCTTGGCTATTATATGCTTTCTTTAAATGGCATAAAATATTTAAATATTCATCATTCACTGGGACCAATAACCTGCTTCTCTAAACATCTATTTAATGTGCTGAAAACTCCTACTCACAGCTAGGAAAAAAAAAATAAGTTAAATCCAGACATTTTACCCCTTTATAGTTTCTATTCTGTAAAACTGAATTCCATAGAAAAACACCATTTGCAGGAGTATTCAAACACAAAGCCTTTACAGGCCAATCCTTCCCCCACAACAGCCTCTGTTGGGGCCACAAGGTGGGGAGAGCAGAGTTTGCATTTGTGTCTGTCCAAGTTCACATTCCTGGGATTAACCAACGTGGGTACAACTGGGACAATGCAGGGAGAGCCCAGGGCCACCGGGACATCAGTTACGGGATGTTTCGCAAAGCTGCTACACCTCAAGCAGCCTGTCAGGCCGTGCTAATCATTCCTCACACATTAAAGGAAAAACGCAGCCACCCCGTTTTGTTTCTTGTTTACAATCTACTGGGTTACACAACCCTGCGCGGGTGCTGCGAAAAAGCAACAACAGAAAAGGCTCCAAACCCCCAGGAAGCCCTCACTGACAGCCTTTCCTTACAGCTCCTCAAGGAATGCTCTGCCAGGGGCCTCCCGGAGCGTTTTAAGCTCTTCCCTCGCTCAAACCGGAGCAGAAGGAGCCTCTCGGTCCGCGGGGAACCGCAGTCCCGGGGGCTCGCTGCTGTCGCAGCGGGGTCCCCGCAGGCCTCGGGGAGGGCAGGGCGG